TATGATATCGCTTATTTTACGTTATTCTCAATCCACTAATGATTCCTTCAGGAAGGAAGACGAGTTAGTAACAGCGGTTGATAACGTCATAGGCCGATCGCTCACGATGAGACATTTTCGCCTGTCTAGATAATAATTTGCTCGAAAATAATTTGTCGAACGGAACGCAATTTGCAAAGTTCAAATCCGAAGTTTGCAAGTTCGTTCATTTAAATTAACGCGTGCGTAAACGTCTTTCGAGTTCGTCTATTCCCGTACTTGCGTGAGAGCGACATACACTAAGGAGAAACACACTACTTCGTTCAGGGAAACGTTCGTGCGATAAAGCCTAAGTGATCTCTATTTACAGCTAAAGGTTCTATTTCCGACTAAACGTTCGCACCACCGTTTCATATATTCTACAATTTGTATAGGTAGTGCCTGCTGAGTTCGACTTGGTACTGAGTTCAGTCTAAAGATTAACATAATTTGTTCTATTATTACGTAATTGATTTCATAGAAAGTGTTCTTATTTTTTATCACATCGCTGTGTTTGATCATCATTCTTGATGCTCAACATTTTTTTATTTCATTTTCTTATTATATAAAATTTGTTTATTTCTCTTTTTTATCATACGATGATTTAACTAGGAAAACAAATAATTTGTAAAAAAGTCAGGAAAGAGCTATTGATTTATTTGTATCCGAAGACATTTTTCAAAGTAATCGTGTCTTGCATCAAGGATTTGTTTATAATACTGTAATGTTTTCAACACTGAGCAACGAAATTTGAAACGTCATTATTGGAGAATATTTCTTCACATTTCAACAAATCAATACAATGTTAAATTAATTAAAAACTTTTAGCTTTACCTTCAAGTATCCTGACATTACAAAATACTTAAATAATGTATATATATATATATATATATACACATATATAAATTAAATCATATATATACATATATATATATATAATTTAATTTCTAAAATAAAACAAACATTAAACGAATCGAAATTCGATTATGGCACTCTCTAAATAAAATGTCTAAAGTAATATTTAGATAAATATAATTTAGATATCCAAGGGAAAACTTTAATAATGCCATAAATATACTTCCTAGCCATTTTCCGATAATAAAAGTTTAATTTTTCAAAACGCGTCAACTGTGACAGATTCAGCAGGGACATCGCGTAGCGCGAAGTCCGAAATCATTCGTCTTCCACGCCGCCATCTTAGTTCTCACGGACTCCCGCTTGTACGTACATAATACGCGACATTTCGGAGAAAAAGACGAAGAGAATCGAAAGATCCTTGAGCGCGGAAGTCGTCGTCTCAACGACTCGCTCTTGCACCGGCGCCAGCTTCTTCCTCTCCCCTTCAACAGAGAAGTCATCCTACTGTACGCCCCTTTCTTCGACCTTCTGTCACCTAGATCGCTTCTTCGCGGCGATCTAGCCTCTTCCCCGAAGACACAGATTTTCTTTCCTTCCGGATGATCACCCTCGACGAGAATAACAGATTTTTCTATCTGCCACTCTCTCTTTTCTCAAACTGACCACATCAACCCGGTTCTCTCCGATCTCGATGGCTCTCGAAACTAGCCGACGAGAACTACAATGACGAGGCTGACGAAGATGACGACGACGACGACGACGACGACGACGACGACGACGACGACGACGACGATGAACACAACGATGAACACAACGACGATGACGACGAAGACGAGGACGCGATCGTAATCCTCGTGTACCTGTGATCAGGAAAAGGAACTCCCGTCTTCCCGCGCCGTCCCAGGTATCGTCCTAGACGACGTCGTTCTTTTCGATGCGCACGTTGTTGATGAAGAAACTTACTTGCCGTTTGAAGTTCAAGTCGTGCTTGTTGAAGGTGTGAGCGTGCAGCGCGAGGGCGCCAGCCGCCGCCGGCTCTATTTGTTTCAAGTGTTGCTGCATTTGCTGCTGTTGCTGTTGCTGCAGCTGCTGCTGCAGCTGCAGCTGTTGCTGCTGGTGAAGATGATGGTGATGATGATGCTGGTGATGATGCAACTGATGGGGATGATGATCGGTAGCGTAACGATCGGTATAAGGGTTGACTACGCCTGTAGTGGCACCCGACGAGATGCCGGCTAGGCACGAACCGCCACCGACGCCAAACCCGCCGCTGCTCCCGGTGGTAGGCCCACCTGTCGAACCGGCAAGCAACGAACTGGTTAGTGGCGCGGACGACGCATGGCCACCGTACGGTACCAGCGAGGTCATCATGGACGGTCCCCTGGTCAGGGGCAACGTGCCGGGCTGTTGCTGACCACCCAGGCCGGTTGGCTGCGTGATACTCAGTTGCTGTTGCTGTATAGTATCGCCGCTGTTTGGCACAGCAATGGCCTTCAGCAGTTGTTCCCGCAGCCTACCGCTGCACTCCTTAATACGCTGCAGTTCGGCCTCCATCAATGCTACCTCCTTCTCCAGAGTCGTTATGCGCGCGTCTTTCGTCTCCATGATGGCGGTCAGGGTGGTGCTACCGGGCACGCCGCCTGGAACCGCCACGCTACCTCCGAGGACGGTACCGCCGTCGCAGCCCCCAGCACCTGCACCCCCCGATACGCTACCTAGTCCGATGACCGATGCACCCGCCAATCCGCTGATGCCGCCGACTGGGTGTCCCGAAGACGCGGTCGAGGCGTACGCAAGCTCCAACTGCGTCTGCAGGCTCTTCAGGCTCTCGTTCGTTGCTTTGAGCTCCTGATACAACAGAAGCAACAAATGGGGAAGACGGTTACAGATCGTCGACTTTTTTCTCGCGCCGCCGTTTCTTTTCTCTGTCTCTCTAGCGCAATCTCGCGATCTAATATCTTTTTTATTGTTTGTTTGATGATGTAGTTGAGATGTTGTCTGATTTCTTTTTTATATTTTCTTGGATGTGAAGTATGCAGTAGTGCGGTTTCAGAAATGTGACTATAAAGATGGTTAGTTGGTGCGGCTTCGCTAACATATGAGACTGTCCCCGTATTTGTTGTCTTTTTTTTTTGGACTTTGTTGAAATAGTTTTATTTGCTATGTGCGCCATATTCATTCACTGCTGTATCGCGTTTAAAGATTTATTCATTACGATAAGTAAACAAAATTTAAATTAATAATTTAAATTTGGAGAAAAACATATTACATAAATATTCCAAAATGCAAAAAAAGACTGTAATATCACGCGCTAGTTTAATCTCAAAAATTAATTTTATTCAATTTCAACGAAAACTAAAAAAAGGAGATACTAAAAAATAGTTGTAACATAAAAATAACTAACAATATTCGTTTCTACACTTTTCACATACAGATATATAAATTGGAAAAACAACAGCAAAATGTTATTCGTGAATTTTGCAATAATTTTTTATTTCGTCATAAACTGCCGATTTATTTTAGTGGATTATTTGTTCTTTAATCGATAAATATCTTAATCAAAATCCGAAATAATATCTTTCTTCTTTATACGCATTTTGGCTGTGAATAGCGCACGCAATTTTCATCTTCCAATCTCTCGGTTCGCGGGACAGTCTCGAGGAAGCGGAAGTGGCACCGGCAGCGTCTCGGTTGACGAAAGAAAAGCGACGTACCGCCGAGCTTCCTTCTTCCAAAACGATCTTCTTCGTTCTCTTCTCCGAGCGAATAATGCATTCTTGTGCACTCCGAAAAAAAATGCGATTGAGGAGTCAACCGTCGACAGAAGCGGCGAGGAATCCTCACTCACGCGTATCGACATTCATTCTTCGCTCGCTCCCTCTCTCTCTCTCTCTCTCTCTCTCTCTCTCTCTCTCTCTCTCTGTTAGTATCAGATCTCTGTCTGATTCTGAATTCGCGTTTTTATTGTCTGATTTCTATTCTGAGGTTCAATTGGCACCGCACCGATCACTGACGACGATCGACGATCGTCAATCGGTAACGTCACGTTTAGTCTTTTCGATGATCTCACAGTCGCAAGGTCACGCTTTAACATTTCAATATATAGTTGTTTGAATTTCTTTCTTTTTTTATTTAATTTTTCTCACGGTGATCCTCTTCCGGACGCCGGGCGCCGCCGCAGTTCTTTCGCCCACCGCGACGTACGGCCGACATCGTTGTCCATTTTTCTGCGCGCGGCGTTTCGATGATTGTCATTGCGCTAATAACACGTACTCCCTCGTATTTTACTCAATTTTTTTCCCCGAAGAACCCGTCGTTCTCCGTCGTGATCAAAGGTGCGATCTTTGTCGAAGGAATTGTTTAGAAATACGTGAGAATCAATTGTCGTATTAATAAGAAATAGCGATTTGCAATTTCTTAGCTAATTTCGTTAGTTCGAAACGCGGCCACGTCGTATGGACAAGATCTCTTTTGAATGCATGTGCGGATGCGTATCGGTGTTCTAAGAGTGTGAGTAAAGGGGGCTTGAGTTTTATGGACTTGCCATGAAAAAAGAAAATAGCAACCAATAAGCCGATGAGGGAACACTCGCTATTCATTGCCTGCGAGATAAGCGCTCGAGCACGGATACGCATCTTGATGAGTTCGTGTATGAGTCGTGAAAGTGCGGGCAGACCGGTGCATTTCCCCGAGTAAATATCATTCAATATAACACAATAAACAATTTCTCCCTAGAGTACGATGATGCAGTTTTATTATTCTCAAGTTTTGATGCACAATTCTCTAGAAGTAGAAATAAAATAAAAAACAATGTGCAAAGTAAAGCAAAGTGGGGCAATTGAAAATAAATAAATTTCTGTTTTTTTGAAGTAAAAATTTAGCCAATCTTGAGAAAAAAAGAGTGAACATTTTTCATTCTTGAACAAGAGTGACTGATTTTCGCTCTTTTTTTTTGGAGTAAGATTTCAATCTTTTGGAGTGATATTTACTACAAAGGAATGTAATTTTACTGCTTGGAATAACTCTCACCTCAAAGGAGTAACATCTTACTCTATACAAGAATGAAATCTCACTCTTAAAGAGTAAAAACCTTTTACTCTTATTTAAGGGGATTATAAAGTCATCTGTATTATCAACTAAACCATATAATTTTTGTATAACAATTACTTTTTTCCTCTCTTATTGATTTGAAAATCCTTTTCTAGGATTAAAATATACGTATTAAAATACGTATCTCTGTGAGATGGAGTGCTAAGAATTCTATGCTAAGAACGACAAAAAATTTTAAGAGAAATTGAGATCTTCTTTACCATTTCTTAGTCCAATATGGCGCTCCAGAGCTGTCACGTCATGACAACATTTGCTTCATATAAAAGTTGTGCAATCCGTACTTGAAATAGTAGTTCACAGACTAGTAATTTGCATGAAGAAACAGCGTGGAGTTCTCGAAATTGGATTTAAATGTCTAATTAAAACGTAAATGTTTGACGAAAATTTATATGTATGTGTGGCGTGCGTGAATGAAATATTGATGTAGTGATGTGTCAATGACCATAAATCGTCTGTGTGTAAGTATTATTTTCAATATGACTAATCATTGTCTTTAGGATGATATTTTCACTCTTTTTTTAAAACATGTGCAATTTTTAATCTTTCGGAATGAGATTTTACTTCAAAATATTTATAGAAAGTACAGGAAGTGAAAATGTAAAAAATATATATATAAAGTCTAAACGTTGATAATTAAAAATGTAAAAAAGAATTTACACTTTGAGAAGTCTATTTTGAGACATCTTAATCGAACGCTTTATCAAAGCATTTAAGCCCACGTAGGCACGAGAAGCGTCGATCTGCCAACACTCCCATCATCGATACGAATGGTGTTATGGTAGAGATGATAAAGACAGTAAGATTACGCGAGGAGAACGACGTCGTATTATCGCATCTCGCACCAGGTCGGTGCCAAACAGTCGCAAAGTCCTCCCTTGGGCCTGGAATCGGCTTGCCTTGACGCGACTTGACGACTTTCGGACCGTCCCGCTGCTCGTGCATCGATAACGACGATTGGCGATGATAGCGGTAAGTCGTGATGGGCAAGAACGTGTCTGAGACGTACAAGAACGAGAAGAGAGAGTATATATATATATAAATGGGCGTTAACATTCAGTGAATCAACAGCCGAGATGATGGCAGAACAAATACATAAAAATAGTGTGAGTATGTGTGAATGTACATCTGTAACACGAGCGTTTATGCACACATATATACCCGAGAAATGCGCTTGTCGCGTACGTGTGCGTATAACGAGATGGTGCATATATATATATACATATAAAGAGTCTGAACATTCCATATGTATAAGATATACACGTGGAAAGAAGATAGGGATGTGTATAATATGTAGCGTATTATGTGTGGCTCCGTATTGCATTAAGTATAGATAATATAGAAAAAGATTTTATATATATATATAGATATCAAGAAAAGAAAAGTAAGTGTAGTAAATATATAGAGAAAGTATATGAAAATTGTTTTCTTACGGGACGAGTTAAAAATCTCGTACAGCCTGAGGCAGATTTTTCATGATGTATGCCGTCCATCCTCCTGATCGTCAAAACTCGGCCAAATGTCATTTGGAATACGAATGCCATTTTGATAACCACTTTATCGTTTTTTTCTTTTATTCTTTCTCACGTATATGCATGCGAATAGAATCAATCTCTCATTTTTTTCTTCAGGCTACTTTGCGCGTTTCCAGATTAGTCGCGCGATGCTATAAGAGGCAAGTTTTAACGTCGTAAGGTATTTTCTATCCGAGACTTTTGTTGTTTAAGAGCAATGGTCGACAATAAAATTCTTCACAGAACGACGAGTAATCACTTATAGCCAGTAAATGAGAATTTTAGTTGTCGGTAATTTCTCTTGACAGCAAAAATCTCTCGAGCGTAGGAAAGATCAAGTTTACTCGATTATATTGGCATATTATCGAAAAAAGATATTTTGATAAACACTAATGAGCTTTAAATAAAATACATTGGTATTTGTTAGATTATTACTTATAAAATAGATTGCTATTTTTTAAAATATCCACACACATAATTACTGAGGAAATAATAAAATTACATTTATATATTATTATTATTTA